CTCTAAAAACCCGACAAACCAACCACTTTCACGCATGGCAGAGTTTAAGAGTTTTGATTCAGATCACTGCAACTAGAGCCATACTGAGAACACTTGTTAACACCTAAACATGTATGTGTGATCTGCCTGATCTCCTTCGTGTCTTTCTGCTGCAGCAGCTTCACTTAGAGCTATGCACCAAGCTTTTTCTTCCCTACCCAGGCCAGCAAAACCAGTAATAATCAAACAAGAAGTATCAGAGCATCCCTTCTGCAACAGCTCTACAGCTCAGAAGGGGAAGCTCCAGCCATGGAAAACACCTCACTCAGATCTGAAACTGTATTTCTCCATCTCACACCCATGTTACAAGAACATCATGATATTTCATGATCAGACAGGCAGTAAAATCAAGACAGCTCAGTCCTTTTTCATCATGTTGCTGCACTGTCCCACATAGGAAACAAAAAGATGGAGTTTCCTTTAACTAGAACATCCTGCCATTTAATTTAAAAGCAAAATATTTTGAGTTTTCAAGTGGACTCTGCTAATATTTCTATGCTCAATAAAACTATAAATCTGACACGCTTCCGCTCCATACACTACTTTACATGCTTCATGTCAAAGCCAGGAAAATAATTCCTCAGCCTTTACATGTAATTAAGTGAATATACAACACATCGCTCCTGAATAGCTTTGCTAGGGCATAGGAATCTGAGAAGACCCACACTGTTTCAAAGAGCAAGTCTATCACTAAGGCTGACGTCCAACACACTTTAAATCATGGACGTATTTGAAAAGCGATACTCAACAGAGCAGCATGAAGAGAAACAGAGACACACATTTCACTTGCCAATAGCTCAAAGACAACAGAAAAACAAAGCTAAAATAAACACAGCAGCACACCACACTACAGCATATGCCAGATAAACCACAGAGAAATGACCACATCTGGTCTTAATTCTTTAAGTGATGCACAGAAAAGCTATTAAACAAGCGTAGAAAGTTTATCACTAAGAAAGGATGCAATTTGCTATATTTCCTGCTGTAATTTTATAAAGGTATTTGGAGCTTGAAACAAGGATTGACTACAGGGCATCAGAGAACGGTGCCAGGCTTTCTAAAACACCCCCAAGAAAACAGCATGCTAACCTGACTGCGTTCTTAAACCTGAACATTAAGGGACAGTTCCAAGGGCGGATTATCTGTTGGCAGACATGGTCTAGCACATGAAAAAGGAACCATGTCTCTCAAAGGGTGCTAAACCTCTACGTCCTCCACTTCCTGAAGGCAATGGCCAGTGTTTCAAGACTAAACGCCCAGAACTAACTAGAGCACGATGCCAATGTTGAGAAGGGTTAAGCATGCCCTGCTTTTCTATCTGAAACTAAAGCTCATTAATTGAAAGGATACAACCCAACTTGGTTCACTGAACAGGGGCTGCATCTGAAAAATTCAGGGGAGCAGCAGCGTTGCCTTCCTGTAGCACCTAGCCAGCGAAACAGCACCTCTGTTTAATGATGCTTGCCAGCATCCTTGACCATGAGGACTTCTCAGAATGATATCCTTAATTTAAAAACCCAAACCCAGCCCTCACAATTGAGAGCTCACCGTGGGCTACCCCTAGCTCTAAAAACAGTTTTTGGTGTGACCAGCAACAGGAAGACACTTACTTTTACAGGAAGTTCTAGCTTCTGGTGAATACATTTGATAAAAGCAGTACAAGTTCATCTGAACTTCTGCTATGTGGCTTGTTGGACAAGCTTCCAGAGATAAAGCCAGCGCTGTTTGCTTATGTCCCACTTCTTAACTTACTTCTCACACATAATAAAAAAAATGAGTTAATGGGCAAAATTCAGAAGCAATGAAAGTTTGCCAAGGGAAGATTCCTCCAAAATCTCTGAAATAAAGATCTCTACCTCTCCCTCAACTTTTTTTTGTTGAAGAAAGGTACTCAAAACATACTTTTTTTTGTGCACCTACTGACCAACTGAACTCAGTGTAAAACATAAAAGCACAAATAAAATAATTCTAGGTGAAGTAATACAACCTTTGCTACAAAGCAGTTACAGCTTTGTTACATTACACATTTTATTACGAATTTATCGTGTGTGATATGCATAGTTATGCATGTGAGCTAAAACCAAGAAAGCGAACAGTCACCATTTCAGGACATGTGTGTTTGAGAATGAGAACATCTCTTACTCCATGGAGTAAACCAAATATTGCCCTCAAAATTATTCGCAAAATCATTAATAATTTTATTACTACAATTCATACAGTATTAGGTTTGCACTATGTCATATATGTAACTTAAACTCGAAAAAATGCACTTGACTCCCAAGCTAGTATTTTTGTGGTAGCCTAACAATTTTCTTTTACGTATTGATTTGTAATCTGATTTGTTCTATTTAACCCAAATTTGCTGAGCTGGGTTTTGTGGTTAGAAATAAATCCTGGATACTTTACTACCAAATATACTCCTAAATAAACACACATTCTTTGTTCATCAATGCTGCAATGCTCACCACTGTAACTGTACCAGAGTAAGAAAAAACATTTGACTGAATTTTATAGCATATTATCACGCCAGAACATGCCACTGAAGATGTGTTTTCCCAGCTTCAGGCCACTATGTTGGTTAGTATTATGAAGCATTAACAGACCTGAAATAACTGGTCCTGTGTAGCAAAACCATTATTGTATTTTCACTTCTATTACTCTCTAGGTAACATTGCAAATTTTCAATTTTTTTTCTTCATATGACTACATTTATAGACTATACCTTGTATGGATCTAGCTGTAAAATCTACTCCTTTTCCCGAAATGCTTAGAAACTGACTAACACATACAAGAAGTTCAGACTATGTTTCCAGCATACAGAATTACCACTATTACACTGCTCAGTCACCTTTCATTAGGCTCCCTGTTTAAAACTAATGAAGTGTAGAACGAACGACTCTTGTGAAATTCTGTAGACACTCATTAACCAGCCTGCCCAAGTCTTTCGCCCACAGCACTAACACTGGTGTGAATCCGCAGGCACACTAGGGAATTATTCCAGGTCTTCCAGATACCTTTCCTAAAAATCAGTATCTTACTGACTTTCCAAATAGTATCCAGTCACTGACTGGAGCCATACTCAGTCTGATTTATTAACGAGCGCAGTCCCAAAGTGGTAGACATCCTTTTCACCCATACAGATGTGGACCACACAGGCCATCCCACTGAAGATATATCTGTTACATGATCCAGGACATGGCTGTTAAAATGCACCAGAGCCCAACCAGCAGGATCTGCTTCTCTGAGTGGACTCCAGTAGTTTATCCTCCCAGTAACAGTGGCTCACAGAAATAGGAAACCCTGAATCTGCTTTTTTGCATTAGGACAGAATTAAGGAACTCCTTAGGTCCTGCAGGTGAACTGCAGATGGACAATGAACTGCAGTGCAAGTACATTTGTGTCATCCTATGAAAAACACAAGGGTGTACCCATTATACCATTGGTAAGGGGCAAGAGGCTGCAATATCACAAAGAGTGAAATACACGTTAGCAACTAAAAAGGATTGGTTTTAAGCACCATCCATATCCTTCACATGTCAGTTATCTGCAAGTTGCTACACAGCACACACCTCTGTAGTGCCTGCATTTGTAAAATTCCAGTCACATTGCTGTTGTTCCTCTCAATTCTTCTATCTTTGAACAAAAATGGATAACTTGCTGTTGCCAGTAAAAGTGTATGTGCTGCTACATGGCACCTATTAGAACAAATAGGAAATCTGAAAGCAAAATCTATGCTAATTAGCTGCCTATACTGAAGTCGGTAGTGAGTCTTAAGGGCACTGACATAAATTAAAATAGAAGATTCAGCTTCTTTTGAAGACATTAAAAATTAGTTCACACAAGGCCGACAAGAGAGAACATTTTCAGGTTTAAAGACAAATACGTAAGTTAAGTCAGAACTAGAATCCACCCCAACCACAGTATCACCAGTGCCACACTGTGAAGCGGAGACTGTCCTGTTCCGCAGCTTCTAAATTTTACAATCTTTGCATGCCCTAAGCAGCCAGTCATTAAAAGGTGACTTCAGAAATAAATTACTTTCTCCCTCGTGGCAAGTTTCAATGAAGTAAAAACCTAATGTTGACACGTCCCCATAGCAGGGTATTTGTTGTCCGTTCCAGAGAGGGCAACCAGGGCTATCAATCTGATGGCGGCAACAGAGGCACGCAACAGAGAACAGAAAAATTAGAGAACTGAACAGGCATGGCTGGGAAGACCTCCTCTCTACCGTGCACACCACCTCTAGCCATAAACACAAATAAGGGCAGCAAATAAGCCTTATTTTCCCACTCCTTTCCCTCTCTACTCATGTCTCTCTAAAAGACGTTTCTGAAAACCAAAGTTTGCTAGGAGAATGATTAAAATTCTAATCATCGAGAGCAAATGATGCTTGAAACAGATGAGCAGGCATAGTAGGAAAATACTTTCAGGAAAGCATAAAAACAGTCTTTATTCTTGGGTAAGCCTGATTATCTTCTTCAAAGCAAGCATTCTAGGAACAACTCCTCCTTCACAAAATTCATCATTCACAGAACTGCCCTTTTCAGCAGAAAAATAACAAATAACACTCTAATTTACGGAACTCTTTCCTGAATCTACTGAATTCTGTAACACCTAAACACAAAGGCTTAGGGTATGAAATACAAGCATTTAAATCCATTTCCTCTTCTCTCACAAGCATGAAATTCAAAAGAACAAGATCAAAAGAGCAATATTACTTATAGCTATCTCCCATATGCTCATTTGTCATAATGTTGACAGATTTATAAATGGAGTAGACTTGACTAGGCAATACAATTCAACTAGAACATGCATAAGTTTGAACAGCTGGCAGTCAACACCCTTCAGTTTGAACAATCTGCCGTAGACAAGAGGAAGGAAGGGGAAAATACAAATACTTTTTGTATTCCCACAGACTGGGAATACTCAAAACATATGAAGCAAAACCAAACACCACTTACTTCAGATTTGGAGGACATATTTTCCTCTGGGACAGAATCACTGGGATCTACAATATCATCAAAAGGTGGCAGAGTAGGCATCTTCTTTTCCAGTGCATCATTTTCAATTTTGACTCTCCCCACCTTGAGTTGAGATCTGTCCTTTCTTTGTTTTTTGCCAGCTGAACAAGTAAGAATCAGTGGTGGGGCACTAGAAAAACTTTTATATAACGAATTCGAGCTACTTTTTTTTCTTTTTTTTGCAGAAGGTTCATCAGAGTCCAGAACAGAGGGCCTTTTTGTGGGGGTCTTCTTTTCTTGCTGCAGCCCAGCTGTTATGGTAAGGATGGGGGTGTTTTCAGATTTTGGCTCCTTGGACATGGGCTTGGGTTCCTTGAAGGCCATCTTAGGAACTATTTTTTCATCTTTTAGTGGTTTATTTTCTTTGGGTTTCTTAAAGGATTCTTTGGAAGATTTGTTGTGTTCCCTGGAAGGTTCTTTGAAGGCACTTTTATGTTCTTTTGAGTCTTTAGAAGTTTTTTCCTTGTGCTCCTTTGTTAACTTTTGGGTCTTTGAAAAACTGTTACTACTGCTGCTGCTGCTATTTGTCTTCAGAATCCTAGTTGGGTCCTGTAAAAAGGAGACACAAAGTTTTACCTACAAATGAAAAAGAAAAAGAAAAAAGGGAAAGGGAAAGAAACAGGAAGAGAAAAGGAAAGAGAAGAAGAGCCCTTAAAGCCCCAAAAGACAGACACAATACGGACACACGATTCATATTAGAAATTTGGAAATGCAGGTTGAAAATCAGAAACTGCAAAGACCTATATAAGAACAGATACAAATGCCATCATTTGTTATCACTAATTGTCAATATCTGCGAGACAAGTTAGTTTCGATCTTAAGAATTAGTTACATTTAAGAAACACAGTAGAAGGAAAATAAAGACAGTTTAGAAAATGTTAATCATGACCACTGGCTATCAGAAAAAAAAAAACAAACAACAAACCATAAGGAAAGATCAAGATATGAACCATATACTGTCAACAGAATTACTATAGCATCAGAGTAAAACACGTGCTCCTGATGACATTTCAGGCAAAGCTTAACTTCTCTACTGGGATCCTTTCTCCAGTTTTCGCCAGATCCTTTTCCTCATACACAATAACAAAGCTGAGTCCAGCCTAGCTATGGAAGACTTGATTTGACACGCAATACCTCAGAAGTCAACGCCTTTTTATGCAAAACCTGCTTTACTAAAAAAGCTTTCCTCTTTGCATTTATTGCTGCTGTCTCTGCTGAGTATTTAATTTTTCAAAATTCAACTGTTACAAAGTGAGAAGGATTTCTGAGAGGGTGATGACTCAGCAGTCCTATAAGATAGGTAAAAGCAGAAAGAGCAGAGCAGTACCATTCCTCATTCATATATACTTACTTAGAGGTGTCCCAATACACAATTCTAGAACGACAGTTTTAATTGAATTCTTAGCTTGAAAGAGAGGATCATGAACAATATTTACAATAAAGTGTTCTTCCAATATTCAGTCTGGAGAAGAGAAGGCTCCAGGGTGATCTTATAGCAGCTTTCCAGTACCTAAAGGGGGCCTACAGGAAAGCTGGAGAGGGACTTTTTCCAAGGGCATGTAGTGATAGGACAAGGGGCAACGGCTTTAAACTGAAAGAGGGCAGATTTAGGTTAGATCTAAGGAAGAAATTTTTTACATTGAGGGTGGTGAAGCACTGGAACAGGTTGCCCAGAGAAGTTTTAGATGTCCCATTCCTTGAAGTGTTCAAGGCCAGGTTGGATGAGGCTTTGGGCAACCTGGTGTAGTGGAGGGTTTCCCTGCCCATGGCAGGGGGGTTGGAACTAGATGATCTTTAACGTCCCTTCCAACCCGAACCATTCTATGATTCTATGATATAATTTTTATGCAAAGAAAGCATTCTTGGAAATGGGGAACACTGAAAAGAGTGCTAGTCAGAATAAATATCACAAATACACTTCTGGGTTTGACTTTAAATCATTTTGTTGGTTATTCATCTAAGTACTTTGCAAGAGCCCTGAGGAGAAGGACTTGGGAGTACTGGTGGACGAGAAGCTCAATATGAGCCGGCAATGTGCTCTTGCGGCCCAGAAGGCCAACCGCGTCCTGGGCTGCATCAAGAGGAGCGTGGCCAGCAGGTCGAGGGAGGTGATTCTCCCCCTCTACTCTGCCCTCGTGAGACCTCACCTGGAGTACTGCGTCCAGTTCTGGAGTCCCCAACATAAGAAGGACATGGACCAGTTGGAGAGGGTCCAGAGGAGGGCCACGAAGATGATAAGAGGGCTGGAGCACCTTTCCTATGAGGACAGGCTGAAAGAGTTGGGGCTGTTCAGCCTGGAGAAGAGGAGGCTCCGGGGTGACCTTATAGCGGTCTTCCAGTACCTCAAGGGGGCCTACAGGAAAGATGGGGAGAGGCTGTTCAGGAGGGCCAGTTATGATAGGACAAGGGGTAATGGTTTTAAAATAGAGGGAGGTAGGTTCAGGTTGGATATTAGGAAAAAATTTTTTACTATGAGAGTGGTAGAACACTGGAACAGGTTGCCCAGAGAGGTGGTGGATGCTCCATCCCTGGAGACGTTCAAGGCCAGGTTGGACAAGGCCCTGAGCAACCTGATCTAGTTGGAGATATCCCTGTTCCTTGCAGGGGGGTTGGACTAGATGACCTTTGAAGGTCCCTTCCAGCCCTAACCATTCTATGATTCTATGATTCTATGCAGACCACAGCGGTGCCCAAAACTCTCATCTGTGTAAAACTGTACATGCTTTCATTCATACAAAGTTCACGTACAAATCTATAGCTCTATTTTATTTTCCAGCAACTGACATTTACCCTTCTACAGTGCTAAGAATCTACTTTTCTTTTTTGACCCTTGTATTAGTTTTGGCTGGGACAGAGTTAACTTTCTTCATAGTAGCTTTCATGGGGCTGTGTATTGGCTGTGCGACAAACAGCGTTGATAGCACGCTGATGCTTTAGGTACTGCGAGCAGCATTCACCGAGCACACGACCATCTCTGTTCCTCAGGCTGCCCCGCCAGCAAGTCGGCTGGGGCTACACAGAAAGGTCAGCTGTCCCTAACTGACCAAGGGGATGTTCCACACCATTTGACATCATGGCTCAGCAATGAAAGCTGGGGGAAGAAGGAGAGGACATTTTGACTTAGGGCGTCTGTCTTCCCAAGTAACTGTTACGCGTGATGGAGCCCTGCTTTTCCAGGGACGGCTGAACACCTGCCTGCTGACGAGAAGTAATGAATTAATTCCTTGGTTTGCTTTGCTTGCATGCATGGGTTTTGATTTACCTATTAAACTGTCTTTACCTCAACCCACGAGTTTTCTCACTTTTACCCTTCTGATTCTCTCCCCCATCCCAGTGGGGGAGTGAGCGGCTGCATGGAGCTCAGCTGCCCTCCAGAGTTAAAGCACAACCACCCTCTAGTATATATGTCAATGTGGCATGTCTGGCTGTCTAACACTGCCACAGATTTACAGAACTGCACAGGGGAAGACATATTTAGCTTTTCTTCCTCCTTACTTAACCACTGTTTCACCTAAAACGTAGATGGATAGCAGCAGTGTGCTGGAAACTGAAGGACCAAGTCAGGACACAGCCAGTCTCAGCCTCCACGAGGGCTGACTAATTTTAAAAATACAGTCAGTAGAACTGCTCTGAAAAAACTGCACCCAATAAGACAAAGCTGAATTAGCCTGTTTAATGAAAGCTGTGCCAACAAGAGGAGAAATTAAGACTGACAATACATCCACCTGTGTGCTCCCTGTTGGCAAACAACTTCTTATGACTTGTCCAGTTGGGATGAGTTAAGCCAGTGTTTGATGCTGTAGGACCTGAACGGTTTACACATAACGTGCAAAAAAGTGGTATCTCCCTTCTCCTCTGTAGTAATAGGTGGAAACAAATAAAAATAATTACTTCAAACTGGTTTTCCCTTCTTGTTATCTTAACTAACTAGTGAAACACTGGATTTTCACACAGTGCTACACAACTTACTCAACTGTACTTTTTGTTCAGATGTTTCTTGCATCAGTACTGCAAATGTATTTTTGAGTCAAATTTGGAAATCTAACTATATATCTATACAGTGTATATGCATCAACATTAACAATGGGCAGAAGCATCAACAATGAACAATATTATGATGACATTTGAATGTCTGAACATAAGGCACCTTCCTCATTTCCCAGGCCAGTAATCAAAAAAGAAAAATAAAAAAGCTCTAATCATTCCTTTAGATGTTTTACTTTAGTCAAAACTCCTTTCCTGGTGTTGTTGTTTTTTTTTAATTTAAAAAAAAATTAAAGAAAAAAAAGAAAAGGCTCCATATTTTGTTTGATGCAAGACCAGTCCCAAGGGTTGACATATGAAGTATCATTAATGCTTTTCTCTTCACATCTTGTTCTGTCACACCAGAGTTCTAAGTGTTGCTCTGCAGAGGAATAAAATACGTGCCATTAATAAACTAGATGGAGTCCTTATTAATAAACTAGATAGAGGAACTTGAGACCTTTCATTTTTTCAATTTTAAAACCAGACTTCTTTCCTCCTTCTACAACATGGAAGCTGATGTTTTCATAGAAATCATACTATATGACATACTTATGACACAGACATATATATACACACATCCCACCATGCTCTCTGAGAGCTTCTCTTTAAGGCAATCAACCCATTACTTTTATATCTGTATTCATTCTCTAAGTAAAAAAAAAAAGTGTATTTTCTTATTTCCTAAGTTTCTCCAATAACTCTAAAAGAAGAGGACAGAAAAAAACCAAATATATTAACTGGTAAAATTATATCAAACCTAACAATGCATGTGGAAGGCTAGAGGGGACAAAATGTGGCTAAATATTCACATCATATACATCTCACTAAAAATCAGAATGTATTTTCAACCCATATTCTTATTTATCAAAACCTAACAGTGTGTTTCAATGTTTCTTTTCCTTCCTAACCTAAGAAGAATTGCAAGGAATAAGAGCGAATGATGTATTTCTGCTAAGAAGGACAAATAAAACAGCCTTTTCTCAAGTTCATATGTAAAATGGAAATTGTGGTATTTTAACTGGTAAGATTTTTACACACCACAGTTTACATATAAACATTTGTATATTCATCAAATATTGAAGCAATCCAAGTGAACGTTACACTTCAATACATTGCATAACAAATATCAAAAGAATAACACAGAGGATTATTCCCATGTTAAAATACCTGCACGTTTTCTTTTCTTAAGCCAAGTAACACCATGTACATATAGTACTTCAAGATACGTAACTTCTTTCATAGTCTTTACTATGAAAGTAAGCAGATCTTTAAAAATAATTATTTTACAAAGCATGATAAAAATCTCACGTTTTACCAACAGAGAAAAACTGTGCTACTGCGACTGTTGCACTCAACCACTGCTCAGATTTTGGCTAACACAGCTCGTGCTAAGGTCTGATGTACACTGGGAGCAGTAACAGAGCATCAAGCAGGCAGGACAGGTGGCCAGAAAGGGCTGAAGGGCCATTGTGCAGCCATCATCATCTGCAAATTGCTGTCTCCTGCAGCCATAATCTTTGGCAGTTTTGTTAGAATCTGCTAGCTTATGCAAATGGTATAAACCAAACCTCCAAGCTAGAAGGTGTAAAACATTAGCTTATGAAAAAAAGAAGACTTTTGAAACGGATCCATCAGCAGCTGGACTGCCAAGGCTTTCATGTTTCCCATGTGATACAGGGAACACTCACGCAGTGATGGAAGAGGAAGGATGAGTGCTCTTGCCATCAGTTCGGTAACTAGGTTATTTTTATTTTTCCTCCTAAATGCATAGAATAAGAGTTACAGGTTTTAAATTATGAAACTGTATGACTTGAGTGGTGAATTCACGTGATAGACTAGTCCAGCCAAAGGGGACTGAGCCCTGTTTGTCATGTGTTTGTTGTATCTCTTAATGAGCTCTGAAACAAAGTTGAAATCACAGAATAGGTTCTCCTGTAAATTTGAGAGATCCAAACAGAGTATGACAGCTGCTCAACACGTAACACATTTGCAGATTAATACAATTCTGTAACTACAAGGCAAAAAATGTTCTTCAACTCTCTGTATGCCTTGCAGGGTCGGTTTCTGACTACACACCCCAAAACGTAATTCCCAATTTGGTTGAACATGAGTTTGAAGAAGCAGTGTCCTCTGGAAATAATTTCAAACCTCTCTAGTTCTTTACAGACATTAGGAACCTAATTACCAAATAAAGCAACTAGGGTGAGAGGGGGTGTTTTGTTAAATTTTACAAAGTCATTAAACTGAGCACATTGGCATGGCCATGCCAGTCTACTGTACGCTGGGTTTAATCTACAAATTTATGATTAGTGATCATAAAAACATTCATTATTTTCATTTGTAACAAAGAAGCATTTCTCCAAACATTATGCATATTGAAATAATGTGTCCATCTTAAACCAACAGACTGGAATTAGTCTCAAACATGCCCCCTGCTCTTAAGAGGAAAAGAGGAGGAAGATATCTAAAGGGAATTACTTGCTCAAGGAAATTTAGATTTCTGTTGAATATAAATGTGTTTATTATTGAATAAAAACACTGATTTGGAGAAAAAAAAACCACAACAAAACACAAGGTTTTGAAAGCCTCCACAAATGCTGTATTCTTCCACTTGCTAGCTGCATGCTGGAGATGAATTTACCTGCTGCTAGTTCTTCTTACAGATTATTACTGTACTGCACTTCTACAAAGCTTTCCACACTTTATCTTGTCTAGCCCATCAAACTATTATGACCAATGACATCAGGAGAATTAGAAGCAGATGGAGAATTACAAGGCTCACTGGTTTGACAGAAAAAGCCAAAAGGGGAGCGTAAAATTTTTTTTTTTTTTTCTGGTCACACACAGAGTAAGAGCTTTTGGTTTTTCTGTTTATAAAGTAAACTAAACCTCATTTCACTGCAGCTGACACTACAGCTCATTCCAAAAGACATAATCATCTCAACAAAACTAATCAAGCTGTTTTGCTGTATTCTGTGCATGTAGTATTTACATAATACAAACAGGCACAGTAATACAACCAATTTAAAAGCAACACAAGTATCTGTATCTAGCCTGCAGCTACATCTATATTCTGAAAAAATCTGTAAAGTAAGGTTTTGTGCACTTCTCACTTTCTATATTTCCAAGACTAAAGCTTTGGTTTAGAATCACAATACTGGGGCTCACTAATACTATCTCCATTAAATCAAACACAAAATCATGGAACTTTAGAAATACAAACATCAACATTTTTAATACGTATTTCAGAAAAAGATGTGACAGAAAGCAAACTGACAGTTCTCTCTTATTTCATACTGTGTTGTATGTTTTTATAAGTGAATGCTAAACCAACAATACCACTTCGTTGCACCAGTTTTACTTTCTATGGGGTGCTTTGTAATAGCAAATGGGTAAGCAAATACTTTTAGGTTCTGGTTTCCATACTCAGAGTTTAAAACTGACCTCAACATTTACTTTGGTATTCACAGACACAAAACAAACCAAAATGAAGCCAAGCACACCAAAGGGTTATTGCTGCAGCAGAAAAATCTCCAAATCATCCAGTACAGACACCTGGAGTACATGCACCCACAGTTTTGGTACAGACAATTTATACCCAAGAACTACTAAGACCTTTCTACAGCTCCTATTCTACAGACATATCTAAATGAAATTTGAACATTGAAGTCGTTCCATCATTGGCGTAATTCCAAATTACAAAACAAAAATCTATTCACACATTGGCTGGAACTCTCCTGCCCCCCCAACCAAAACAAAAATCCTAAAGACAAAAATCCAAGGGTTCTCAGCTCTCAGGATTTACAACAAAAAAATCAAAACCTTTTGTTATACTAAAACCAAGTTACTTCATGTTTCCATTTCTCAAAAACAGCTGATGACCCCTCAGTAAGGCAAATATTTAAAACTCTTTATGATATAAAAGAACAGTTGCACATTAGTGTGAGTTTTAAGTTGGACAAGAGGAGACAAAGATTGCTGGGGGAGGGGAAAAATGGAATATTCACACCGACTGGCAAGAAATAGTGTATAGATATAATATCTCTTCCCACTATTAAAAACTCCAGTGAACAGCACACAAGGTTGAAAAAAGAATTATTTCAAATAGACGGCGTTGCTGCTGAACATTCCTATTTTGAAACCCAACATTTAAAAAACATTTCTGGGTAGCAATCTGACAGATATTGAATACAATGCTGAGATATGATGCACATCTAACCTCCTATTGACTTCTGTAGCTTCCTGCTATGGGTCAAACTCACTGTAGGTGGTTGGCTTGCTTCAGTAAAAATGGAAGATTTTAAACATTCGTTTCTAAGGACGTGCACAGCAAACATGCAACACTCCTTTCATTTTGCTTCACCCCAACCATGCTCCACACTTGTCAGGTTTCTACAACAGAGAAAAGTTCCTTGTCTGAATACGGTGCAGGAAATGACACCCCAGGTTAGCATTTGCTTATGGACAAACTCTGTGCTGGAGATTCCAGACTTACTACGGTGTACAGTTACCAGATGGACCATTAGTGTAAGACTTGCTTGCTATCATGTCCGTACCTCCCTGAAGTCTTTCTGCAGGTGTCTGGGCTGCTTATTTAGGCCAAGCCTCCGTATGCCTGCTTTGGCATGCAATGCAACATATGGACGAAACAACACTATGGCCGAATCTGAAGAAGTGATTGGAAACTGAACTCAGGTGAGCTACCCAATCTCCCAAGAACTCCAGATCATAAAGTGTCAAAGCAACTCATCGTCAGTATCCAAGTAGATGAAGATGCGTCCTAGTCTAAAGAGTGAGACAGTTACCTTCAGCACTTTGCATCACTTTGAAGTAGCCAAGTGTCTTCCTTCTAGGCATTAAGCAGTCATTTTAGCATGTCAAAGTAAGCACCTTCAGTCTAATCCTCAGATTCAATCTACCTCAGCTCCTCATTACCAGAATAAAAATAATCACAAATCTGTATATCCTTTAAATGTCACAAGAAGATCTGCATTAGAGATTGTGAGGCACTTAGGTACAATGCAAACCAGGTAAACATGTCAAAAGAACTTTTTCTTGTCTCCTCTACATATACTTACTGTTTTGATACAGTCTTATCAATGGACACACTTAGGCAGACTCATAGCTCATTACCTGTCAGTTCTTACAAGATACAAGATCTGGCACAGCTACAGAACATGAAAGTTATTGATAAAAATGGATATTGCCCCTTACAGTACGTGCACTGCAAGATTAAGTAACATACTTCAAATTGACAAGATGCTAAGAAAGAAAAATCAAACCCCAAACAAGTTGACAGAATGGAGAAAAGACATATATGTTAATTAATTTATTAAGCAAGTCATTGTGTTGCATTTCTTATTTGAATAAATAACAAGATGCTCTTTATTCTCCCACATCATTAATTCATTCTGTCAAACTGAAGAAATTATCTGCTGTTTTGAAAGGTTCATTTGTATTACTCAAGAGGTTCAATGGACTACACCTTTTTACCACGTTCTAGGTTGAAGATTCAATTTGATGTCCTAGAGACTGATGACACATTGCTGTCTTTGAAACATCTAGTAAAGAATTAACCCCTGAAATTTAAGTAAAATTAAAAATCCTAAAGAACACAACTTCAAGTTTCGCTCTACCCAATTATCTTAAAAAGTATTCAAAAATACTTAATAAATGAAATTATTATTATAGTATTTCCTCACATTCTTTACATTTCCATAGATCACACTTCCATCACCAGAATCCCTTAATACTATAAGAGACCATCAGAATTCCTTCTGGAAAAGAAGGAAAACAATCGTTCATGTACAAAAACCAGAAAAGCAATACCTTCATTGGTACCTGTTCTCACAGCCACTCTTGCTCTGCATTGTTTTCATGTGGCGAACAGTAAGTTCACAACAAAGAAACTTCAAGACCTATTATCACTGGACTGACTATGGCATGAGATTGCAAAAATACCTAGAAATATATTTTTTCTCAAGTTAATTCCCAGGGAAAGCAGCACCAGCTCAAGTATCTTCTTGCAAAATAAGTCTTACCTTTGGGCCATGAGATGATTTCTTCTTCACTTCAGAAAAAGACAGGGAATTACTGGGAAGGATGGGGAGATGAAGACTCTGTCCTGAAGAGAACGATGTGCCGTCTGACATTACCATGATCTGTTTGAAGAGGGAAAGCACGTCAATCAAACACCACCAACAGAGACAGAGATTCTCACCTGCCTAAGGAACTAGCAAATCACACTGATAAAACTTCTCCAACAAAAAGCATCCATGCTTCTTCTCAACAGGGGATTGGTTAATGAAACCATACTTCCACCCTCCATTTAATGAGCAAATCACATTTTTCAATTTCCATGCAAATACAATGCAAGCCTCTCAGAAAACAGCCTAATTTGTTCTGTTCTGGCTGCTTACACTTACACACCACAGCACCCGAGTCCTTGGCACTCTCTCTTGTCCTGCGCGATGCCTAGCACACTAGAAAGTACATCCCACCTGCAGTAAAAGGTTCTGCAGGCTGCTGACATCCCATAAATACATACATGCAACAGCCTTCGCTTCCAACTAGAGTGGTGTGAAGAAAGACTGTAATGGGTATAGGTGGCAAAGTCTGGGAGGCAGAGGTGGCCGCTGTAAGGAGAGGCCAGGGACTGGCCCATGCCAGACACAGCTGGATGCATACAGGACATGTCTGAGGCCCTCATGAAAGATGGTGGCATCTCAAGGAAAAGACTTTTAAGAAAGGGCAAAACACTGCACAGGCAGAAGAGGTGAGGGGAAAAAAAGTGTGAGAAACTGCAGTGTGAACATCAGGGTCAAAGGAGGAGGGGAAGAGGTGCTCCAGGCACTGGAAAAGGTATTTCCCTGCAGCCGATAGAGACCCCATGCTGGGGCAGCTCATAAAGGACTGCCGTCCACAGGAAGACCCAGTGCTGGAGCAGGAGGACAGCGTGAGCATGGAGGAGATGAAGAGAGAAGCTGTTATGGATTGACTGCAAACCCCATTCCCCATCGCCCTGTGCCGCTCAGGGAGGTGGAGGAGATGGACAAGTCCTGCACAAAGGAGTGAAGTTGAGCATCGGAAGGTGGGGTCAGGAGTGCTGGTGGTTTTTTTTGTATTTTTGTTTCTCCTTACCCAAATCTATTTTAATTTTAAACAAATCAATTTTCCCCAAGTCAAGTCTGTTTAGCCCATTACATAACCGGTAAGTAGTCTCCCTGTCTTTTATCTTGAGCCATGAGCTTTCTCATCCTATCCTCTCCCCCAGCCCTGTTGAGGAGGCAGAGTGAGTGGGAGTTCAGCCCTCAGGCAAGGTTCATCCACTGCAAAGATACACTGTAAAAACAGCCTGAGGTTTTAATGTGAAAGCAGTACAGCTCTAAATTCAACTTCTAACTTCGAGTTTCTGCTCCAACTGGAGCACCGTAAACTGGACGGCTGGTAAGCGCGCAGCATTTTTGCTGTAACAGTCTAGCATCCTTTCTTGATTTCAGAGACTCAGAAGTACAAACAGATCATTTCCAGAGACCACAGGTAAATCAGCCATCATTCAGCAGCTACCAGACATGTAAAGATTCTTGCCTTCCATCTGAGAGAAACTCAGCTAGCTCCTGTCTTCTGCACCAGTGTTGCTGTGCCTGGATTTTACTGCTTCCTATCACACCTATTCGTTTACCTGTCGTTTCAAAACCCTAAAATGCCAGAGGCAGCTTACCTGCTCTGACAAGCCCTGAAAAGCTGGAGAGAAGCTGCAGAGCTTTGCATCTGTAAGGAAACACCTCTCTCTTTCCAGAGGTTTGCATGCACCAAGTCACACTTGGTTTTGTGGATGCTCTATGTGGTCAACCTTGCTTCTTCACATTACCAAAACATCCTCTGATATTGGGGGTGGGGAGAGACTGACCCACCACATGCCTCATCCACATTATGTTAAAGGAGGAATGGGAACTGCAAAATTGAGACATCTAGGATGTAGATATGTATACTCCACATTTTACCTCTCCAAATCAAGATGATATTTACTGGCTACAGTTTCTTCAAGATAGGATTCCTTTTTTTTTTTTTTTAATTATTTAAGCACAGCTCCAAATGAATATTGTTGCAGACATCTTAATTCAAAAGATCGTGTGGTAGCCTGGACAATATTAAGGGACATGGCTAGGTAACAAAGATTACTGTTATCAGCCTCTAAGTTGAGCATTCCCTTTCAATACTGCTGCTAGAATCCAAAGGTGGAGGAAGAAGGAAATCAAGTTGTTCTCCTCCCTTGACCATAGGTTCAAGTATTAAATTTTTAAAAGTTACTTATGTAACCAAACATTTTGTCAAGTAAGATTCCACACACGGCATGTAACGTATTTTCTCCCCAATTCCTCATTTCCATTTCTCAGACACCTAAACCAGAGCCTGCCAGGAGCCAGAAGTCTCAAAAGTCAGCTTGGCAAAAGCAATGGTGCCCGTCTTGCAATCACGGTAATGTCAACAGCAATTAGCTATCGTGAATCACAATAAGTGATTTTATTTAGCCTGACAAATATTTTTTAACCTTAACTTGCCAAAGGTTTTGTTTAATTCAGCCCAGATGAATTGAAGGCACAAGCTAACGAAGAACAATCGGCAACAAGGACAAAGGAAATCTGTAGCCACACGTGCATACCACAAACCCGAGCAACAGATAGAGAAAACGCACGTCTCTGTCAGTATTTCCTCTCACAGACCAACTCAAACAGGTGGTTAAATAAGATTTCTCTCCTTTAAAAAAACTCAATGCAATGTTTTAAACCCACAAACTTCATAGAAAATACCGATTGCATTAAAATCAAATCATCTTTCAGAAAAAGTAGACATAAGGTAATCCATTAATTATAGTGTTCAAGCAGGTATTTTATTAACACGAAGTAGTTTTTTTCATACACTTGTATGATAGAAAGATTCATATCCATTTGGAAGAGAAATGTAGTCAGGAGGATCAGAGTTTGCCCTACCTTGAAATTAAAAGTGAAGAAATAAAAAATTCTGCCAAGGATTCTTTCTCCTAGGGTTGGAAGCTGCCATTTTCTCCCTGAAGCATGACAGTCTGACTCATTAAAATAAAATGAGGTTCAACCACTGCATAAGTTTTCTTTTTAAATTCAGAAACACTTCAGTTTAGAAATATTTATATATTCATCATTATATATAGACATTCTTAGAGAGCTGACATTTTGAAAAAGCATAAGGACTTCTGAGGTATCTCGGTTTCTGGGCACATCTTTGCACCATTAAGTCTCAGTTCTACAGACTGTGTGTTTACAAAATGGATGACTGTCTATGGGAAGATCTACAGGGCCAGAATGGACAGTATAAGTACCATATGAAGTCTGACAGATGTGGCAAATCTAGTTCCATACAGAGAGAAAATAAATCCCAAACAGTTTTTGGAAGACAAAATTTGGACATTCCAAATTGTGTGCCCTAAAAACTTCAGTGCTTCGAATTCTACAGCCTTTTATTTCATTATAAACCCTATGAAAAATGGCAATTGTAGATTTAAAATTTTAATGTTATTAACAACATACACAGTTGAATGTCACTTCAGACTACGGACTTTACCATCTGTAAAGATGACAAAAGACCAGGAAAATCTCATGTAAAATTAACTCTTTGGCCCCTATAATAAAAAACACACCTTCGTCTTCCAAAGCGATCTTGAGGATCAAAGGATCCTCATTATAGTCCCTTATATCAGAAAAAAAAAAAAAAATCACTTGCCTTCTGCTCCCTCTCAAAGAATAAAGTCAATATTAAGTAACTCTTCAGAAACTCTTTCAAAATGTGTTTTTTCTTTGCCAAGATTATCTATGTAAAACTCACTTTCATTACAAACACTTTTTGGAATTGAGATGCATTTCCCTCTTGGACAAATTTAGGAAAAAGACAGTTATACATCCACTTTAAGTACTACAACTGAAAGAGCTCAGCTGACAGAATTATAGCAACTTCTACAGTGGTTGGGCCAGTGCCTGTTGTCCTCCCATTAGTCAAACATAGAAACACACAACCTGGCAGACGTACTCCAACCAGCTTTCAGAGCAAGTCCCTACTTTTACCTTGCCACTACCATACTGGCAGCGTATACAGCTCGTGTGTGTGTGTGTTTGTGTGCATGTATATGTATACAGCTATGTAAAGTCAAGGCTACACAAAAGAAGCAAGAGGTGGGAAAGAGCATATCACAGCAAGCCACTAATTCTGCAGCAACAATGCAGGCTCATCAAGCAAGAGCTCTCCAGTGCAGCCAAGCTACATGTACTTTTTAAACTCGTTTCCTCCTTTCTGCACTATGAGTTTCCTGCTAGCTTACGCTTGCTAAGTAGAGTACACTGCAATAGGTTGAGGACACTGCTGCAGCCCATGCTTAAGCCACGCATCTAAGATGACCTGTTGCTGGTACGTGTCTGCTCCCAAAATGAATCACTTCAGTGACAAAAAACATGAATGTTATTAATCCTTCTCCTCAGTTCCTTCCACAAGTCAACAGCTCAGTGGGATCAGACAAGCTGGTGGAATAAGACACCAGTGCTGGTGTTAATGATGTAAGATGAGACAACAGCTGGGCTTTAAACAAGTCAGTTTAAACAACCACATAATCACACTCTGGATTCATCAGTATGTAAAGCATGAAGTTCTAGTTACAGTTTTGCTGTTCCCTCAAAAGATTTAGCTTGACTATATTTAATGGTAATTGTAAATTGTAATATCTGTAAATAAACCTACTAACAACTGATTCAGAAGTCTCCTTACAAAAAAATTGACCAGTCGAAGACAACGCTTACCTACCAACACATATTTGGCAACTCAGCTCTACCCAGCTACTCAACAAGAACTACCCACTTCGCAAACACAAAACTCTGCTCTTCAGATCCCAGTACAGAAAGCATGAGGTAGAGCCCCAAAAAGTTCCATGGAAGCTGCCACTTTCTACAAATGCACACCCTGCCACCACTGATGCGCAGTAGTCATAGATCTACCACCCTGCATAGATACTTACAGTTAGAAACTGCACAAAATGTCACGGTTGCTCTAGATCAACACAATCTCCTTATTAAGACACATTAGAGCTTCTGCAAGGGAATGAACCACTACCAAAAAGCTGTTGTCTGTCTCCTACTTTTTC